TTTGTTTAAATGACTCACCTAATCCTAAGTCATCCGGTAATGGTTGTTCACTGATATTTGTTGATATTTTTTTGAATGACTAACTGGGTCTCAAGTCACCTGATCGGTAGGAAACAACTTTACATATAACTACAATAAGACTGGATTAGATCATATCTAATCAGATCAGATTGCATCAGATAAGACTTGATTAGTTAGAAATAACTTTACATATAACTACAATCTGTTGGACATGAGTTCAAACCCCTTTATTATTTTCTGGAATATTTTTGTTTTGATAAATGACAAACAGGATGATGAAATTCAAACGATGATCGAAAATTTACTTTTCGTACCAAGAAAAGAAAAGAGGCGTATCAAGAATGTTACGGGATAAAAATCGACGCTCCCCCCACGCAGTTTTTTGAAGTGATGAGAAGACTCCGAAGACTTTTTAATTTTTTTTATTGAGTCTAGGATTCTTGTAAGGATGACAATATCTTTTGCACAAAACAATTTAATTTCTGAGGGATAAAAATTATTTTAAGAGTCAGTTGAAAAATCACTTTTTCTCTGTCTAAAATATTTTAGTAAGTCAGTTTCAAATAAGTGTGTCAAAATTTCTTTAAAACATTTTTTTAAAGTTACACAATTTTCTTTGGTGATAAAAACATACTTTAAATATTTTTCGTATACATCGTTTGACACACAAAATAATTTTTGGACTCACTTTTTCTCCCCTATTCAAATTCATTGAATAAGGAGATTATTTGTTTGAGGAGCGCTTCTTTATTCTCGCTGTCTCAAACAAGGAATTAGAAGCCAAAGGGCTTCCAATCGCTCTTGGCTTGGGCCCTTTGTGTTTGCGCATTATTTTCATTTTAATCGATTATATCCTTTAAAATAATCGATTAGATCCAGCGCAATTTCTCAGGGTTTGAATTCTTAATCGATTTTCTCTATTAAAAAAATTAGCTTGGACAGAACCTCCTAATCGATTTATTTCTTCAATTTAATCGATTTTT